TATGAGATCGCGTCGGGCATACGACTGATGGGTAAATAAAGCTTCTTGGAATGCAACGCAACTCAAGTTCTCTTTGTTATTGTGTTAATTCTTGTACACTTTCTCTAAGTCTATAGACTGCATCTTTAGTTTTAGAGATGATGTAGTTCCACTATCTGGTACGGAGTATATTTTTTGCTAACTCTCTCCTATTTCAAGCTAAGGTTTTTAATGCCGATTCTTCGAAAAAGTGTGTGTGTGGGGGGGAATAAAGTTGGGATGTACATGACCATGAAGCTCTTATGCTCTGTTTGGATAAAATGAACTTAAGTAAACTTAGTGCAATACAATAAAGCTAAGTTTTAATAAAAATCAGGTTAACTTAATTAATGAACCTATGTTCATGCGTAAAATAATGTTTGGAAATAAATAAGATGAACCTAGATTAATATAATAAATGTTGTTTGAACACATGTACTTTAGCTTATTGTATGTTGAACATGAACTTTACCTCCAAAACCCTCACTTCGGAGGTTCTTCAATTTGAGGTGTTTCCAGGTCCTCAGAAGTTATGTGAAGTTAAGTCATAGTCTAGATTTTTGTTGCTAGAATACAAACGAACGAGGTCAACTAAAAATTGAACCTGAAATTACCTATGTTAACCCCAAACAAACATGCCATTAACTCCCTCTAAACAAAAACTTATTTGATTGTCGTTGGGTTTAAACTACTATATACAACCTCGAAGGCCAAATTCGACGTTATTAAAGCCTAATAACGAGTTGCTAATGGGTACTCCTATTAGCAAGTAGCAAGTACATCGAGGTTTTCTCTCCCATCACCAAATTAAACTCACTAGTATTCATACCGTTCTCAGTTTGTCTAAGGACCTTGCTAACTCATTCACTCCTCCTTGCCACATCATTGTGACAGCTCATTGCCATTTGCGGTGTCATGGCCTTCTCACAGCCACATAACCTAGCTTGATTGACTCGTATTTCTCTAAAATGTTTGTTTCTTATTCCCACGCACATAACCCCTCTCCACCATCAGCCGCGGACTACCAATGCCATCGCCACCATAGGAGGCAATGTTTTCAAAAACTATAAGGAAAAAATACGAGAAAAAGATTGTTCGAACTAGCTCATTATCTAAGTTATGGGACTAAATTGATAAAATTATACTCCGTGCTTAACAAAGTTATAAGTCAATATGCTTTAAGTATTGTGACTGAACCAAACATGGTCTAAATTAAGTTTTCGATGAAATGTGGGTTTGTAGTTCAATAGCTCATACACATGTCATATATGACGTGTCATATATGTCACTAATATATAATAAAAAATGAGTGGGAATTTCAACAACAAAGGAAAATTTAGAAGCACTTGTATAAATTATGGGACTAAATTGGGGAAGTTAAATTTGATGGGACTAAAACGACTTGGCCTAAGTTACGGGAAAACAATTATACTTCTTTATATAATGAAGTAGAATTATTTTTCCCCTAACCTGCCCCAAGCCAAATTGAAGAGCTCATTTAAACGCGGGTAATATATTATCAAATCCTATCACTGAAAATCAATAACGACACACGAAGGATTAAAATACCACACATTAATGATCATACATAGAAACATATACTATGTCTTAGCATGCGCCACTCTATCGATTCACAGATCGTCTATTATAAGTGAACAAAATAAGGGAAAATTATGGAAGTAGTAGTAAAAACATTTTGAAATTTTAAAATAAGAGTATTGTGTCTTTATTCTCCAAATATGAGTATTCAGTGTCAGAGCGGATTTTTTTTTTCTATATTTAAATCTAATAATGTCAAAATATGACAATAATTACTCATATTGATGCAATAAAAATATATACTAAGTACTACCTCCGTTCTTTTTTATTAGTCCTTCTTTTCTTTTTAGGACGTTTTTTTTATCTGTCCTCCTTTCCATTTAAGGAAAGTTTTTACTCTAAATATACCTTTATACCCCAACTTTTATTACCATTACCCCTTTCTCTTTCCTACTTTTTCATTTACCCACTACTCATTACACCTTTTACACTACCCCTACTATTTTCCTCTTAAAATCCGTGCCAAAGCCTAGGAGGACTAATATTAAAGAACGGAGGGAGTAGTAATCTTATTTTGGAATTTAATTACAAATGTTTTTACTTCCTATATATGGCAGTTTCTTAAGAAATAAGAGTAAACTAGAATGGATAACTAGTGTCTTTTACAATCAGAGGCCGTTTGGCAATACTGTTTTTCGGCTTATCAGCCAATTTTTTCACCAAACACGTAATTTTTGCTTTCGCGCTGAATTATGTAATAAGCAGAAAAAGTAAGGTTGAAGTTACTTTTATGGCTGTATTGGCTGAAGTTACCGTAGATGACCATTTTAGCTATTTTTACATATAATTTTTTCTTTATTTTATTAATAAAATATATTTTAAAAATAATTTTTTCTTAAACCAACATAATCAGCCAAAGCAGCCACTTCAACCAGAAATTCATAAATTTCAGCAACAGCTGATTTTCGTGATACCAAACAGGCTCTCAAACTAAATGATGAATCAATGGCCCGGTACTTTATGTGAATTAATGTATTTATATTTAAGTGGTGTGTGAAAGACTAAAAAGGTGGAGCTAATGTTTTGCCTCTACCATTCATAGCTTGGTTTCCGGTCAAACACGTATCGTTGAGCGATGGGATCCCAAACTTAAAACAATATTTGCTTTGAAATGATGGCTAGACAATAACTTTAATTACCCTACTGCCTTTCTCATTAATTACATGCAATTAAATAACACAAGTCTGCAGGTTAAAAGTGCAAATTAAATGACTCGAACTTTATATCCTTATCGTGAATGCATTTTTCGCGTAGCTAGGTACTAGATACCTAATAGAAAGTGCAAAAGGGAAGATGGGGCACTACAAATTGGCAAATTGTCAAAAAGTGAAATATGCAAAGTCATATACCAAAAGACTTTCCGTCTAATAAAGTTACGCCAAATTACTGGCCACTGATGTTTTGTGATATATTTTATTTTATTCTGTCGAGACCAAACCAAAAAAGAACAAGAGAAAACGAGTTTAACGCGTGCATATCTATCATTTTTAGATATCAAATAGTCAAATGGCAATCGAGGAAAAATATGCGGACTCATGCACCAAAAGAGAATCTACTTTTGTATTTTTTTCGATATTAATTTCTATTTATTCATATATATATATATATATATATATATATATATATATATAGAAATAAAAATTTGTGATTTTAGGAGAATATGTCTCATCAAGTTGATATCCTTGGGTTCGAAATTACCCTTTATCGCACTATTTGGATTTTCATAGGTATTGAGGCATGAGGATACATTTCTGCTTCTCCTCTTATTGAGGAATGATCTAATTCTTGTTTAATTTAATTTCTACACGAATTATACTTTTATAGATTATTAAAAACAATAATTATGTAAAAACTATAACATATACTCCGTAATAATTAACTTGATCAAAAGCATGTTATTTCTTCCCGTTTTCCCTTTTTGTCTGTTATTAAACTTTCTTCTTCGCTTTTTCCTTTAAGAAAAGAAAGTGCGTGATTAGGTTTGTGCTTTTTAATTAAAGCTCTATCACATACTATACCTTTATTCTATTAGAAAGCGTCTCCTAATTAATAAAGGATCACAACAACAATCCACTTAAATAAAAGTATAAAATGGGATACGATGAAAGTGGCAAATTAAATATTACAAAAAGTTACTCCTAGCCTATTTGATTTAATTTCATAAGATTTTGTGTAAGACTAACTAACATTTGAGCTTCATTCTTTTAATAGTTTGATTTTAATCTCCTCATGCACATTATTACACAATTTATAGATGCAAATAAAAAAAAAGTTTTTGTATGGATTTCTCACAAATCGATAGACATTTTCGTCACACCGGAGTCAAATATTTCGTAACTAAACGACAAAACAAATTTTATTACGAAATTGACACGGAGTTGTGGAGTTTTTTGTCACAAAAAATATGATATGGAGTACAAAGTATTGACAAAATGCGTGTCAATTCAAGACAAATATGTACCAATGTCATTGTTTTTTGTAATACACAGAATTAACTTCATTTCAAAGAAACTACATATATACTCCTGTATATGGCAACCTACAGATTCTCACATTAGATTCTTGATTGTTTATCTTAGCAGCAGAGAATAAAGTACATGCAATGGACCATATCCTAAGAAACAAAATTGAAACACTACGATTACTGTAAGGATCGTATATCCGTCTCCGGCTCAGGTCTTTCAACACACACTCTCACACACCACACTAAGAGGAGGCTATAGCACACACTAAGGTTTTTAGCTCAACCACTAAGTCCCTCTCAGTTCTCACACAAAGGGAAAGAGAAGGAGAGCACTGCTCTCAATAGAAGTGTTTCTCGCAGGCTGAGGCTCACAAGGAAGAAGCAAAGACTATTAATAGGCTGCCAAGGAAGTCACGGGTGAGGTCAATACAAAAGACACTCACATGCATCTTAGACAAAGGAAAGTCACAAGCAAGACCAAGACAAATGGAGTATGCAGCGGACAGAACACAGAGGGGCCAGCCAAGTGGGTAAGTCAACCCTCAAATAGGTATGTTATTGATCAGATAAAATACCAAGGTAAAGGTACCAAAGTGGGAGTAAAACAATAGGGTGCAAGCCTCAACAAATAAAGTGGAAGGGAGGCCTTGGTAGGACCAATACCTCCAACAATTACAAATACGGCCATATATTTATTTTTTGTGAAATTTGCGAGGAAGCGTTCATACTCCGCTGGTGGTCAACTCAGTTGCCCTTATGAGAAGTCTCGGGTTCAATACTCAATGGAGTGAGGTTAATTTGATCCCAGTTTACCTCGGGACCCCTAGCCTCCTCCCCGACCCCTTGGGGTCACAAAAAAAACAAAAATAGGTGAAATTTTCCTTTATTTTATACAAAGTATTGTTTTTTTAACTTTACCTCTAAACATTAATGTATATAGATATTATTACAACTAATAACAGTGGAGTAAAATTTAATGAGCTACAGTAGAAATGGGGGAATTAACAAGGATGGGCTATTAATGAGTAGCGGAGATCTTGCTTCTCTTCCCGGAGAGAAGATGGAAGCCGCCTTGCTCCGCTGTGCGCCACTCGTCCACCGTCATCGTCGTCGTCCCATCGAAATCAATATGGCGAAGAAGCCCGGAGGCATCATACAAGCAGGCCTCCGACAACCCATTAATCACAGGACACGGGGGTTTGTTTTTCCGGCGACCGGCCCCGACGGGGACGTTCCGGAGAGCTCCACCGGCGGTCCAGTACCTCTGGCAACCTTTGCAGAAGTGCCTGGGCTGGTTAACGTTGTAGTTGTTGAAGTAACAGAACTTGGTCTCCATGCTGTTGCATCTAGGGCAGGGAATCACCTTGTCGGGCCTCTTGTGTTGTTCTACTGCAAGTCTTTTAGCTTCATCATCTTTGCCGTTTGGTTTCTTCTCTTCATCAACTGTAATTATTGTTGCTCCAAAGAGCTTGATGCCCTGTTTCATGTGTGTGTCTTGAACCTCAGCCATTTTGTGAGAGGAAAAAGTTTCAGGGTAGCTAGAACGAGGATAAATTTTTATGTTTATGATGTGAAGGTCTTATTAATATAGTCGGTAATTCGGTATAATATATTCATACGATAGTACTCATCCGATAATAGATCACATACTAACCATGCTTAAAATACTAACTTACTAACTCAATAATATGCAACACATTGAACTTCAATATGCAGTACAAATAATGTAAAGATGCACACTGTGAATTTCAATATGCAATAAAAACAATATGCAAAACTTTGAACTTTAATATGCAGTACAAATAATATGCAACACTTTGAACTTCAATATGCAGTACAAATAATGTAAAGATGCACCGTTTTTGATAGTTTGTAGGTTAGCATGAGAGGAATGGTTAGTATCTGATCTCACCCCGTGCTCATCGTATTATATATAAGTAGAGAATTCCCTAAATAGGAGTAAGAACGTTTTGAAATTTCAAAATAGGACTCATGTTTTTTATTCCCTGAATAAGAGTAAATTTCTGTCAAGTTTAGCATTATTAGGCTTTAAACATGGCATTTTTTTCCAAACTTGTCAGATTACTCATATTCAGGGAATTAAAAACATGATAGTCCTATTTTGGAATTTCAAAACGTTTTTACAATAGGGCAATTTCTGTATTATATACTCCCTCTGTCCCTAAATGTTTGTCCTATTTTCCCGAAATTGATGTCCCAAAATGTTTGTCCTACTTTTTTACTTCCTTATTTGGCAAACAAGTCTTTATCAAACAATGTCAAACAGTGCAAAACAGTGTCAAACAGTGTCGCTACAGTGTCAAACAATGTCGCTACAGTGTAAAGTCAAATTGATTTTAGAATGAGGGTGAGAGGAAAATATATTGATGACTTTATCATGAATGATGTCGCCATATTTAAAATGTACGATCGTTTTACTTTAAATATTTGTCTTCTTTGACTTTTTAAGTCAACCGTGCCAAATATTTTGATTAGTATAAATTTATCAAAGTTAAAAAATTTACACTTTTTATGAAACTATTTTTGATAAAGAACACCTTCATGTAGTAGTACTTTTTATATTATACTAAGTACGTTATTGTAGGTAATTTTCTAAAAAATATCATTGAATTGGTCAAGTTATAATTTGGTTGACCAATTTTTTTTTAATATGACAAAATATGAGAGACAAACAGACTATAAATTCTTCAAAAATAAACTTTTTTCTGATATCATAATAGTTCTGAAGTTTTAGTCCTGTAAATTTGACTTGATAAATTAGAAAAATTGACACTTTTAATCCCAAGCGTGAGTGATCTCCTTGAAACGATCCCAATCATCAATTGTCAAGCTAAAAATACTTCAGTAATTTATAATAACTCGTAGATTGTTTATAATATTTACCACCCAGTAGAGCATTTTGAGATTTTTTTTCAATAATTGGGATTATCTTGAGAAAATCGATACTTTGAATTATTTGAAGTTGAGATTATTCTTGTCCATTTTTCCTCAAAACCGTCTATACTAGGGAGGCAACTAGGCCTATGCATGTCTAGGGCACAATTATCATGTGGGGTGCTAATTTTTATAAACAAACAAAAGTTATATATATATATATATATATATATATATATATATATATATATATGCGTGTGTGTGTACACATACATATAATTGTGTTTTTGATTCTTAAATTATTTAATAAAACGGTAATAATATTAATTTATTCATTATAAAATATTCATAATTTTATAATCGAACTGATTATAATTGAGTACAACATACTACGTTATGTATATATACATTTGTGTTTTAGATTCTTAACTTATTTAATAAAACTGTAATCTTAATTTATTCATTATAAAATGTCCATAATTTTTTAATCGAACTGATTATAATTGAGTACTACATACTACGTTATTATTATTTTTATCTATATTTTTTTAAAATTTGTTGAGGTTTAGTCCCGTAGATCCAAAAGCCCAACACACGCTTAGGATATTCAGGGACGTGGGTCTCGGTTGAAGGGTAAAGAAAAATATAAAATAGTGAGAAATGAAGAACCCAAGAGCTTAAACTTGCATTAATAGTGCCACTATGAGCAACGACCCGAACGGCCTATCGGAGTAGTGATTAATACAAGGAATAAAGATAACAACTCTCTCTCAAAGCTCTCAGTATTTAAATGTTAACCCTTTCCAATGTATTAAAAGCTGCTATTTATAGCAAGGGGGTAGATGAGAAGAACACGTGGCCAATCCCAGTTGGCTGTTGCCTTTACCGCCATGTTCCCACTTGTTCCCGCCATATTCCAACATTAAATGTGGTTGCCACTTGTTGATATCGCGTCCGTGCACCCCGTTCGGGGTGTGGGACTTTCTGCTGATAGAAGTTGTTAATGAATCACCCCAAGTAGATGAGATGTGCCGAATGCCGTACGGGAATCTTGTATCGCTTTGGGCCGAATGTTTCCTCTGGGCCTTTTCATATCATGGATCGGGTATATTGGGCCTGAACCTAATATCCCAACAAAATTATTTTGATAAAAATATCTTCATTCAATAGCATCACTAATTAATTAGATAAGTGGTCTAGTTATGTTGTTAATATAAAAATGTTTTATTAACCTTTGGTTGTGGTAAAATTGACAAATTTGACACTTCATAAGGTAAGAAGAATAGATTATTAAAAGTAGTATTTTAATTTTTGTTCTACAAAAACAGAAATGCTTCAAAATTTACATGATTTATTAGTGATTGTTTTAATTTATTTATTTGATAGAATTTTCGTTTTATTATTTTTAATCAACTACATATTCTCTATATATAATTATTGTATAGAATATTACTAACTAATACAGAATATAAAGATATAATTTGTAATCGGTTTTTGTTTGGGTCACCAAACATATTAAAGACGGCTTTGTTTGTCCTAATACATTTAAGCCATACCGTTTAAGTTAGGAGGTTTCCCTAAATAAGGCTAAATAAAAACAAAATTGCAATAATAAGACTTCAAAGTTTAAATTCTCAAAATAGGACTAAATCTTCATATTCGACCCTTTCCATTGTCCTTCTTAATAGGGTTTTTAATAGAGTTTTTTACGAGAATATTACTAAAATAAAACTTATTTACATAAATATGACTATTCATTACTACAACGTAGTGCTGTGGTAACTAAAGTTCAAAACTTGAACATAAATTACTATGATTTCATTACTACTCTAGTAATGAATCATACTTTTGTAAACCATCTTTATTTTGGTCATATTTATGTAATTATTTCTTTTAATAATAATTATAAAACATAAAAAAACACATAATACACACACATGTGTGTGTGTCTCAACCAACATCGTAGCCACCTTCCAAAGCTGGTTTGGGCCGGGCTTTTCATAAGTTTTCTGCCCATCATGTGTGGGCGGGCCCGGCCCGGCCCGCAAAAACGGGCCTAACCCCATGTCCATACCCGGGCCGCCGGGCCCGGGAAAACTTTAAAATTTTTAAAATTATACTCCGGAGTATAATATATTTAATACTTTATAAATAAAATTACAACATTTAAAAAAATGGCTAATACGCTTAGAATGTATATAGGCCTTTCATCACATACACAAAAAATATTTACACAAAAATAATAATGAGAAACTATATCTAAAATTTAAAATTCATGCACAAAGTATTATCTTTAAGTACAAAAATAGGTATTGTATTGGTTGGACTATTTGTTAAGAACTAAAAACTTAAATTTAAACATAGTAAACTATAAATATGTATAAAGATAAATTAGTAAATATAAAAATATACATGTGTACATGTAAATAAATACATAAATTAGCATATATATATATATATATATATATATATATATATATATATATATATATATATATATATATATGTATATATATATATACACTAAATGTAGCGGGCCGGGCTTATCGGCCCGAACGGGCCTACACCCTAACCCAAGCCCGCCCATATGTTGTTGTGGGCCGGGCCCGGGCCGGGCCGGTGGATAAATTTATATGCCCAAGCCCGCTAATTTGTGCGGGCGGGCTGGGCGGGCCGGGCGGACTGGCCCGATTTTGTACAAGTCTAATCAAAACTATGTCGTTTTGGGGGTGGAGCATGGTGCTCACCGTGGGACGATCCCACGGAATACGAACTCCTTATTCACTCCTATTTTTGTAAACTTTAATCCAATTATTTTTATTAGGACTAAATAATATCTACATGACAAAACTATTTTGTCATATTTTTAATCATATACAAGTAATTATTCATGAGGAATGATCGTGTCAAAATTACTTGACAGGACGGATCCGCCATCCGGATCTCTATGTTTGAGGTGCTTCAAAATTGTGTTTTTAGATGAAATTTTGTGATAATGTTGTTCATGATGCGTAAATTATTTACATCAAATGTCAGATTAAAATGTAATCGAGAAGTCAATTAAATAAATTATTAAAAACCAATGCGTTAAAATATATATAAAACATCGCAGTATTTTTCCGTAATTTATTTAATTGACTTTCCAATTAAATTCTAAGTTAAAATTTGGTGCAAATAATCTACTCTTCTTGAAAAATGCTAACAAAAGTTCATCAAAATATTTGCATCTCAAGTTAAGGCTTCTATGAGATAATTTTGACCCAAACTTTTCGGATAGTATTGAAAAATATAAAAGTTGGGGGCCAAGGCCCCCTACACTTCTATGTACCTCCGACCCTGCTGTACATAGTAGGGTTGATGCTATTCCATTTTCTCAAATGTAATTTCTGGAAACTGAAGTGAAAAATCATTTTATAACTTTTAGGTTTGTTCATTGTGAAACTAATTTCAGGGCATCCGGCGTTTTTCATCAACAAAATAATACGGAGTATGATGCAACATGGATGTTTTTACTTGGGTTGTAATTTGTTGGTCTGGTCTGGTCTATCTAAGTCTGGTTTGGTCTGAACTGGTCTGTTCTGGTCTAGTAAACGTCCGGTCTCTTTGTATTTTATTATTAAGAAATTAATGTCTGATTTGGTCTGGTCTGGTCTGTTTAAGTTCTGTCAGGTCTGATCTGTTTACATCCGATCTATTCTGATTTGTGACTAAAAACAATCCA